CATTGCTGAGGCCTGGGCATGCCTGACCTGACCAAGTTTGACCTGATGTATGCCAAGCATGCCTGGTGGGTGAGGACACAGAGGAAGCAGAGTTTTCTGAGGCCCATGAGGACATGGCTGCCCCTGGGAAGTTGGTGTGGATTCTGTTGAAGGAGAGGGCAAGGAAGGAGAAGAATACTAATTATCCACTCCTTTCAGCCCGGCAGCATGTCATACTCCCAGGATTTCAGCTTCAACATTAGCTGACAGGCATTAAAGCTTTCTGGTTAGATTGTTTTCACTCAGTGGTGGTCATATTTTACTTTTCCATATGTACCTGTGAGACTGTTTCCATCATGTTTTAAAGTAAAGCCTTTAAGAAAAATAAAAACAAACAAGATTTTAGGTAAATACATTGATGACTTGGTCAATAAGAGGTTGTGAGGAGGAGCTAGAGGTGTTGGTGGTTATGTTTTCTAGGCTCTGAATTTTTTAGCTGCCATTCTCTTTGGAGTATTCTGCCAAACTACTGCTGTTTGATGGACTATATCTCTGGCCCATATTGACAAGGCTTATTTATTTATTTATTTATTTTTTGAGACAGAGTCTCACTTTGTTGCCTAGGATAGAGTGAGTGCCGTGGCGTTAGCCTAGCTCACAGCAACCTCAAACTCCTGGGCTCAAGCGATCCTGCTGCCTCAGCCTCCCGTGTAGCTGGGACCACAGGCATGCGCCACCATGCCCGGCTCATTTTTTCTATGTATATTAGTTGGCCAATTAATTTATTTGTATTTATAGTAGAGACGGGGTCTCGCTGTTGCTCAGGCTGGTTTCAAACTCCTGACCTCGAGCAATCCGCCTGCCTCGGCCTCCCAGAGTGCTAGGATTACAGGCATGAGCCATTGCGCCTGGCTAGGGCTTATGTTCTTATTCAGTGTTTAAGGTGTTAGGAATTCAAAAGGCTCTGTACAGGAAGTATGAAGGCATGATAAACTCACATGAGTTGGGTGTGTTTATTTCTATTCAGATTCACCAGGACATGAGACTCACGAAACATGTGCCTTTGCTCAAAAAGACCCTGGAGCAGTTGGTTTGCAGAGTCAAAGCCATGCTCACCCTTAACAGTTGCAGAGAGGCTTTCTGGCTGGGCAATCTCAAAAACCGGGACTTGCAGGTAGGCCTTGCACCCTGCTAGTAATGATCCCCATCTCCCATTCTTTGTGGGACTATCAGAATGTATGCGAGGGGGGTAAGCTAAGCCCTGCTCTCTGAATAAGACTGCTTTTTTCTTAAGTCTTTGGCTATTTAGCTCTTAAAGTTAGGGTACATTGTTTATGGGTCCTGCTCACAGGCTGCGGTCCTCATCCCAAGCAGCGAAGACTCGGAAACATGCGGTTGGTGTAAACAGCGCCTCAGAGGTAAAGGAGCCAGATCAGTACAGACCTCTGTCCATAGCCAGAGGGGCGCCTCTAGGCCCTACTGAGGGTAGATTTTATAATAGCATTTTTATATGTGGACAAATATTTTTTTGTTTGGTTGTTTCATTTCTTTTTGTTTTGTTTTTCCTAAGCCAGTCTATCACACTCCTGAAATTATAAATTACTCTGGCTAATTTTAACAAATGAACATTTCTGGTCTTTCAGTTATCTAACTGAAATCTTATGTTACTTATAATACTGTTTTGGAGTTATAGCAATTTTCAAATAGGGGATAGCCCTTCTCATTCATGTTTACTATATCTGAGTTTTATAATTAGTTGTATTCACAAGAATAGCACCATGGAGAATTAGCTTCCTTTCTTTGCATCAACCCTATGAGGTAGATACTGTTGCTTCTTTGTGAAAATTGAAGCCCAGAGAAGTTGTTCACATAAAATCATTCAGCAGTAAGTGAGTGGAGTCAGGGCTTGAGTCTATCCAGCATTGATGTTCGTAAACCATTTCACTATACTATCTTTCATCCTCTGCACAACCATTCATGGTTAGTGTGTTGGTGTTTATATACCTTAAGGCAGGGGTCCTCAAACTTTTTAAACAGAGGGCCAGTTCACTGTCCCTCAGACCATTGGAGATTGTGTACTGTGGGCCTGGGATGAGTCGGCTGCTAAGCAGGACAGGCAGCGGTGACAAAAACACCCAGAAGTCCGGATAAATGTGTGAGGCGGCCCGCATGTGGCCTGGGGGCCGTAGTTTGAGGACGCCTGCCTTAAGGTATTGTAGGAAATCTTAGAACCATGTTCCACATTAACTGAAAGAGTCACTAATACAGTCTAGTCTTGTAAAATCTCGTATGATACAAGAATACAAAGATGAACCTTTTGTACAACTACTTGTTATATCAGAGCCACAGGCATCTCAGAAACCTGAGGTTGAACCTTCTCTAGATGCTGGATCAAAAGTTGGTGTCCATGTTTGACCATATTTTCAGTGGCTAGAATGTCTTCCTTTTTACTGCCTGTAAACTCAGCCTTTCTCCCTGAGATCCCAAATGTAATCATTATAACTCATCATTTTTCTTGGTCCACTCACATTTAGGGTGAAGAGATTATATCCCAGAATTCCCAGGAGAGCACAGGAGATAAGAGCGAGGATGACATGCCATCCCAGGTCTCCAAAAGCAAAATAACAGAGGTATCTCTGCAAAGGGCCCCAGGGTCTGGCACTGGTGGTTGCATTTTGCTAACTCTTCTGAGTTGGTAGAGAGAGCAGAACTTTCCCTGCTTATGTTTATTATCAAATAGTTCTATGTCCATCTCCATTCCCTCCAAAACAGTTTCTGTGCTTATGTAATTTCATAGAGCTGAGAAAAACAATCACAAAATCTTAGAATCACTTGGGAGTATCTAAAGTTGGGGCAAATGTTAAGAAGTTGAAAATTCCCTTCCATTATAGCCTCCTATTTTCCATGAGTTCATATCTGAAACCATTTTAGAAGGGAGAGAAGAAGTCAAAGTATTCTGAGTGTTGAGAGGAATGAGTTAAACCACTTGAACATGTTTGAACATATAAAAATAGAAATGTGAAAGCCACAGCAGAGTCAGAAGCTGCTACCATAGAGGGCTAAAATAAGAACATAGGTCCTTATTTTTTTCTGTGGTACAGATGCTTTTGGGAATTTAAAGAAACCTAAATAAAAATTTGTATGTTTATAAAATTTTGTCACGATTCAGATAGGTTATGGACACCGAATAGCTCAGGTTTAAGAACTCTTGCTGTGGGACTTCTCTATCATGCATTTGAGTCTGATGCAGAAAGATTGTTTAGTATGAAAAGCCCATTTGTTTACATGGTCCTCTTGTCTTATTTGTATGACATACCTCCTCTCTGTTCTCATAGAGAATTTGAAGCAGAGACTATCCTATTAGTTTGGTACTTTCTTGTAAGCAAACCTCCCATACTAGAGCTGCAAACCAGACAGAATTTTGTGGATTCCTGTTGAGATACACTAGTACTTTGTTTCTGTTATACACATACACTAGAGGTGGAGGGCCATGACTTATTTGAAAACCATGCAAATTTGGTTTAGTTGCAGAATGGCATGAGTCAGTATCAAAATGACTGACCTCCCTCTGTGGTCTTAGCTTAGCATTCGTGATGTCAAGAAAAATGGGAAACCAGAGTTGGTGGCTGTTGCCTATAATCCCAGCTACTCCAGAGGCTGAGAGGCAGGAAGACTGCTTGAGGCCAGGAGTTTGAGACTAGCCTGGGCAACATGGCAATACCCTACCTCTTTAAAAAAAAAAATAGGGGAGACTCTGATTTCATTTTTAAAATGTGTGGTTTAAAATCTATCATTGATTTTAACAATGATAACAGTAGAGTTGTACATCCTGTGGGAGCTGTATTCATGGGGTCACCCAGAACAGTGACCTAAAATACCTATTTGTCTTTTATCCCTTAGGATGGTGAAGAAGACGAAGCAAGTGCTGAAGAAAAGGAGCAAGATAGTGATGAAAGTTATGATGACTCTGAGTAGACCCCAGAGAGACTGTGGCTGCCTTCCCCAGCTCTGCCGTCATATGACCATTTTGTGTTCAGGGTTTGAAATCTGCTGTTTACCTTAACTGTGGATTTCATAGATTGTCTGACATCAGAGACCCAGGTTTCCCCTGTAGCATTATTTATTGGTTTGGATAAACTCGGCAAAGCTACACTGTAAAGTAAAAACTCAAAGTCATGGTTCTGGGCCTTGGGAGCTAGTCTTGAAACTCTTTGGTTTATTATGGAATTTAGGCTTTTATCACTTTTACAAATAAATTTTGTTCTAACTTCTATCTCAGCTAACTCATTTCTCTGTCTGGATTTCCTTCATTATTCAGGGATTAGATGGAATTGAGGTTTGTGCAAAGAAATAATGGAGACAGGTGCTAACATAGTTCTGCCAATTAAAATCATGTCTCCTATTATAAGGATAAACTTCATTTGAGGTGGAAAATCTTTGTGATATTTCTGGAGGAGCGACTTGAACCTCTTGTCAATGCCCAGTGGAAGTCAAAAGGAATATTTTGGCTGCTATTTAAATTTTTTGGTTGGTTCATTAGCATAAGAGAGGGAAAAAGGCAGCATCAAACTCATGTTGACTTTTTATATATAACGTTTATTTCCATATTTGGAGTTATGCCTATAATCTAGTTATCAAATACTACAAAATTACTTATAGTTTATTAGAAATAGAACATTAGGAGTACACTTCAGCTAAAATGGGGACTTTCGTGTCTTCTGCCAGAAAGCCTAGTTTTAGTGCTGCTACTAAGTTTTGTCTTGCCAGGCTGTAAATATTGTTTAATATTTGTTAATTTTACCCACTTTTATACTCTAATAGTGTTAGGATGTAGCTGGTTAGGGGTTTGTTTTTGTTGTTTTTGGTGGGGGGAGGTTGTTTTTTAAACTAATCCTTGACCCACGTAAAGATATTTGACCCCTTCATTCTCTGGTACATAGAAATCCATACATCTCTTTCCTGGACACCCGTTTGCTCTCCCAACTTGTGCTTTTTGGTGTCTAAGAGAGTTCACAGTAGGCTTATTGGTTTATATGGTTTGTTTATTGGTTCTTTATCACATGCACTTGTGAATGCTAGTTTTGACTCTCTTTTAAATGGTTGTTCAGCTTTACAATGGAAGTGTTCTCCCTTGCTCTGTATCACTGGCCCTCTTTTCGACGGGAAGGGAGAGAAGGGGCTCCCAAGTGGTCACCGCTTGACAGAAAAGCAAGGTGGCTGGGGCAATGTCACAGTTTTGTTTGTGTGGACAGGTTTCTGTAAGCTTCAGGGACACATACCAAAGGGCACGGTGTGAAGAACTGGGAATCAAATGGGGACCCTTCACTTGGAGTGTTGCAAGGCAAAGGTGCACTTCTTGTACGTCGCATATAGCAGGAGGATAGAACGCAGCATCTGTTTGCACATGGTCACCGTCATCTGAATCTGAGGTTCCTTAAGTCCAGTGGGCCACCGATGCTCCTTGCTAATGATTTTGCAGAAGGCTGACTTGTCTGAAACTCTGAAGGTCCCAGTCCACTTTGGTGGCTGAGCTGTGATGACCCTGCCAAAGACAGAATCCACTCCACTGAGGCGAACAGGCTGGGGCTTCCTGACCAGTCCTTTCTTGTTGTTTGTGGTTTGGAGCTCTGATGTGTGGCATGGTAACTTGGGACTCACTCCAGTTTCCAGGAATGAGCTGTCTAGGACCAGAGTGACCTCTTGAAAGCACAGCTGCACTTCAAGGTCGGAAGGTGTGTGTGGGAAGCAGGGGGAGGCCCTAAAGGGGTGCTTGGAGGAAGGTGTAGGTGTTGTGTGCCGCAGCCATTGGAAGCTCTCGTCCAGTGGGGTCCATGGTGACCAGAGCTGATATCCTGCCATTGACAGTCCTAAAGGAGAGGAATCAGAACATGGAATTTCCTTGGCATGCTTTTGGTGAGAGCATGGCGGTTCACATTCCCATCTCTTTCTCATTATTGACAATCTGTAGTTCCCATGAAAAGATTCCAACAGTTGTTAGGGTTTTAGTAATTTCTATAAAGGACAGGGGGGAATAGTAACAAGTATTGAATCTAGCAACTGCTATGTGGACTAAAGCTTTATTAAATCTTTTCATAAGCCTCTGGAGGTCGGTTTTAACCCATTTTACAGACAAGGAAACGGATTGTCTGACATGGACGATCCCAGGCCACCCATTAGGACCTATGCCATGTTGTTAGCTCTGTTCGCTTCTGACAGCATCTATGCCTCTGAGGTGGCAGAGGCACCCCAGCGGGGACTCGATAATGAGACTTCATTATCAGAGATTAGAAGAAACTCAGAAAAGTCACATCTTAAAATATTTGTGACTTTAACTCTGTGTCCTTTATAGTAGTGGTTCTCAGAGCATGAGCCCTGGATTAGCAGCTTTAGCATCATTTGGTAGAAATGCAGATTTGGGGGCCCCACCTCAGACCCACAGGAACAGAAACTCTGGGGTTGGGACCCAGCAATCTGCATGTACACAGACCCTCAAGGGGATTCTCTTGCACTGTATATTTTGAGGACTTAGGCTGTTCCTTTCAGGCAACTCCGGCTCTCCCTATTCTTCATTATGTAGACAGTCTGCTCTCAGCCCTAAAAGCCTCTGTGTTTTCTAGCATAAAGGAGCAGCTCTCTCCAGCCCTGGGCTATTTATGTACCACCTTAGAGGACTTACACCTGCTGGGTGTAAGGGGAGGGAAGAACTTTTCTAAAGGCCAATCTTTAAAAATTGTTAAAGCTTTTTTTTTTTTTCTAGGTGTGGATTGTTTTTTTGTTCTGTTTGTTTTGTTTTGTTTTGTTTCATCTATGGGAGACCTTGATTTTTTTTTTTTTTGAAGATAAAGAGCTGTGATGTTATCGCCAACTCAAAAGTTTATACAAGTAGAATTTGGATTTTCCATTATTTCTATTTCAAAATTGTCACTATTTAAGGAGTTTTGCTGAATTCAGGAGAAGCTAATGTTTTCTTAAGCACCTGCCTATTATGTTAGGGAGCATGGCAGATCCCTTTTCTTTCCAGCCAAATGTATTATTTCTCTGCCCCTTCTTCCCCCACAAAAGGTAACGGTGGCAGATCTGTCCTATCCCATCCAGGAATTGCCCCAGAAATGCTGTGAAAAGTTGGCATTTCCACCACAGTTTGTGAGACAGAAAAGTTCATTTTTAAAAAAAGAACTGTTGGTGACATTTCAGACCAGAAATGTCTCATAATGGTTAATAGAAAGGGAACTCCTGATAATGGTTAATAGAAAGGGAATTTGTTGAAGTTTTTCTCCACCTACTATGTTTCTCGTAACCTATGCAGATTATTAAGTGTTCTTTGCAAATTATTAAGTGTTCAAATATCTGGGCTGCCTTAAGATGAGAAACTGACACCCAGCAGACAGTTATCTATTCCAAACAGCCTATTAGAGGCTCCTGGTGCTTGATATTTTGACCTTTAGAGCATACAGCCAAGACCAGGTACATGGCCATGGCAAGGTGGGGATGGGGAGAGTATTAATGCCTCTGAGCATAAGGCCGAAGGAGTGTTTAATCCCAAGATCCTTTTCTTGACTCATCCTAAGAGGAAAGAGAGGCAGAGGTAAAAGACTTTGTCCAATGTCCAGCCTAAATATATGGCAGAATGAAGGGCATGAAAAGGCTTATGACCCTAGGTCTTAGCACCCCTTCATACAAGGTTTGAGAAAGATGGTTCACTCCATCCCCACTCCCCAAAGTCACCTGTCAGTCATCCACTCCAGGAGAGTTTGAGCCTAAGGAAGTCTGTTCAACCTGCTCGCATAGCTCCTAGATAAGGGACACCTGGTTCTCCTGGCCGAAAACGATTCCCCTTCATACCACTCCTCCCATTCCAAGGAGCCCCATCGCCCCATTTCCCCACCTGGGAAAGGGGAAAGTAGCGGAAAAGAGCAGCTGGGGTCCTCGCGAACTGTAAACTGCGGATCCTGAGAGGCTGGAGCTGCTCGGGAGTTGAGAGTAGCTCCACCTCCCTGCCAGAAGAAGGGACTTGTTTCCCCCAGGGTCCCTAGCCCCGGGCGGGAGCCAGAAGGCTCTGGCTGAGGCGGAGGAGGCAGTGGGAGCCCAGGCCCGGTCCCACCATCCGGGCCAAGGGCTCACCTGCTGAACTCCGCGGGCTGCACGCTCCAGAGCATCTTTTCTCCACCCGGCGCCTGGCAACCGCCTTTGTGACCCAGGACCACGGGCTAGCTCGAGCCACGGGGGCGACGGTGAGGCCTCGAGGCGCCCCGCTGGAATGAGTGGTCTGGCTGAACTCCCCACCCCCACCTCCTTAGAACGCCCCCGTCTGGGGCCCCAGCTTCAGGAGGGCTGCTTTTGATGGGTCACAGAGCACAGACGTCCTTACTTAACAAGCCTGTGGCCGGGACCTGCGTAAAAGCATCAGGACCTGTAGTTAGTGTTAGAAGTTCGTCTCCACTCATCATTACACCCTGATCAGTGGGAGTTCGGCGGAGTGGCCCAGAGCCCTGAAAGCTTTTGTTGTTCTACTGGAATGATCCCAGTGCAAGGAGACAGAATTTATAAATGCTTTCCTAGACCGGGCACGGCGGCTGACGCCTGTAATCCTAGCACTCTGGGAGGCTGAGGCAGGAGGATCCCTCAAGGTCAGGAGTTTGAAACCAGCTGGGAGCAAGAGCGAGACCCATCTCTACTAAAAATAGAAAGAAATTAATCAAAAATATATAGAAAAAATTAGTTGGGCATGGTGGCGCATGCCTGTAGTCCCAGCTACTAGGGAGGCTGAGGCAGGAGGATCGCTTGAGCCCAGGAGTTTGAGGTTGCTGTGAGCTAGGCTGACGCCATGGCACTCTAGCCGAGGCAGAAGAGTGAGACTCTGTCTCAAAAATAAAATAAAATAAAATAAAATAAATGCTTTCCTGTTAAGAGCAAGAGAAAGATACACAAGCCTTTCCAAACTTCAAAAAGGACGATTATGTCTCATTTTTACAATGCTGAAAAACTGACATTTTGGGGCTGGGCAGGGTGGTTCACGCCTGTAATCCTAGCACTTTGGAAGGCAGAGGATCCCTTGAGGCCAGGGGTTCAAGACCAGCCTGAGCAAGAGCAAGACCCTGTCTATACAACAAATAGAAAAATTAGTGGGGTGTGGTGGCACAGGCCTCTAGTCCCAGCTACTTGGGAGGCTGAGGCAGGAGGATCACTTGAGCCCAGGAGTTTGAGGTTTCAGTGAGGTATGATGATGCTACTGCACCCTATCCTGGGAGACAGAGCAAGACCCTGTCTCAAAAACAAAATAAAACAACCCTGACATTTTTGCTATAGTGAAAGTGATCTGACAAATTTGTAACTATCACTTCAAACAATTTAACCCTGGATAGCTGAGGAAAAGGAAGAGTCTACCTAGCTGACACCTGTATCCAAAGTGCCTGGTTATTGCAGTACTTGGCAGTGTGCAGTAAGTGTGGGAGGAATTAACTAATAGCCCATCTGCATACCCAGAATTGCCTTTGTACTTTGAGAACTAGAGAACACAGCACAAATTAGAGTTGCCACCTTTTATCTAGTTCTTTGGGTAAAGTTAGAGACTGAGGGCTAGAGGATGGGGTCGGGCTGGGATCCTGGTTTAGAAGACCAGAGTCTTTAGACACTGTCAAGAATTGTCAGATACCCACTGTGTGCACCTGTGGTGCGTGCCTACTGTGTATGTACCTGTGGGAGAAGGGAAAAGTGGAGAAGAGTTAGGAGGGAATGTCTGAAAATGGAGAGAGGGGCAGAGAATGACGACACTTGGAAGAGATACAAATGATTTTTAATTACAAAACGTTTTCCTCACTGTCCGTCCCTCGAGCACTTAAAAAAAAAAAAAAAAGTTTTCCTGCAGTCAGCTCATTTTTGTTTTCCTCTTGAATAAAAGGGACCTTGTTATTTTAAAAGCAAACGAAACAGTACTTTTTATTTAGCTTTTAATTGCACAGTGGTAGTTTTTCCACCCTTAAATGAAAGCCCTCAATGTAAAATTGTATGATTAACCATTGTTAAATAGAGAGGGCTTCATACTGTTCTGATAATCTGCACTACAGACTTCTGCAGTCTGCCCAGCTCTAAGGGATGTGTTCTTAGAAGTGCCGTTTGCCATCACCTCCAATTCTGGGATACTGCTCCATGTGGAAAACCTGATGCCACACATTACTACTGACAGCCTACATCAACTTGGTCTGTATCATGCAGTGCTCAACGTTAGAGAACAATTTATAGTTTATTTTCCCCTCCAGTTTATCATGTGTTTTCATGTTGCTCTAGTGTTCACAATTGGCATTTAAATGACTGCATAATATTGATAATATTGCCTTCGGTGGCTGTACCATCGTTTTAGTCATCCCTCAACTGCTGAGATTTCGTTCTTGTAGCATTACTAGAGTATCTTTGAGCCTTTTCAAAGTGGTGGATTTTTTTCAGTGATTTTCTTAATGAAATGATTAGGTCAAAAGGCTTGACATTTTTGGCAGTTCTTGCTATCAGCTTACAAATCTCTTTGTAAAAGGACTGTGCCAGTTTAGAGTGTGCCCTACCAATTTCCCCTCTCTCCATCATTAGGTGTTGTCGTTAGAAAAATGCGTTGCTCATTTGGTAAACATGAGGTGGGACAATCCACGTGGCACTGTTGAAAAGCATTTCAAAAACGCCTTGTACTTAGGAGGGTCAGTGGATGGTGCCCATCCTAGTGCAGACTGACCACACAACCTGAACCCGAGAACAGCCCAGGGGGGAGGCGGCCCGAGCCTGCGCGCCCCCTAGCGACCAAATCCGCCAATGACAGCCGTGGGTGGGTGGTCCTCGACGCCTGCGCACTCCGTCCGCCCCGCCTGCGTCGCATCTGTTTTTCCCCCAGGCGTGGGAGCCGAAGAGAGAAATCACGCGAGAACATGACATCGCGCAGGCGCACCACAATGTCGGCAGATTCGTGGGTGCCAGACAGGATGGACACGGGCTGGCGGCGCGCAGGCGCACTGGCCGCGCGTAGGGTCGGGGCGCCTGCGCAGTCGCTCTTCCTCAGGCGGCAGCCATGGCGGGCCAAGAGGACCCGGTGCAGCGGGAGATTCACCAGGACTGGGCGAACCGCGAGTATATCGAGGTCATCACCAGCAGCATCAAGAAGATCGCGGACTTTCTCAACTCGTTCGGTCAGCAGGCGAGCAGGCGGAGGCGCGGAGGAGGGAGGCCTCGGAGGCGGTGTGGCCCGGGCGCTGGGCGCTGAGGGGCTTTCAGGGGACTCTCCCGGAGCGTCGCTTCCGCGTTTGGGCCCCACCTTCTCCTCCTGCCGGGACCCTCGGGCTCCGCCGGGCGGTCTCCGCGGGGTTTTCCGGCTCTAAGCCGAGCTCAGGGGCTTCCTGCCACCCCTCACCCCCGGGACCCGTTCACAAGTCCTTGGTGCTTTGCTTCCATCTGGTCCCCACTTTGCACTCAGGATGCACAGCGAGGACCGTGTCACCGCCCTGTTTAGTGACTCTTTTTTTTTTTTTTTGACAGAGTCTCACTCTGTTGCCCAGGCTAGAGTGAGTGCCGTGGCATCAGCCTAGCTCACAGCAACCTCCAACTCCCAGACTCAAGCTATCCTCCTGCCTCAGCCTCCCGAGTAGCTGGGACTACAGGCATGCGCCACCATGCCCGGCTCATTTTTTCTATATATATTTTAATTGCCAATTAATCTTCCTATTTATAGTAGAGACGGGGTCTTGCTCTTGCTGAGGCTGGTTTCGAACTCCTGACCTCGAGCGATCCACCCGTCTCGACCTCCCAGAGTGCTGGGATGACAGGCGTGAGCCACCGCGCCCGGCCCAAAGACTCTTTCTTGACCGTACCCCATCTTCAGGATGGAGTCAAAACCCTGTAGCATCATTCATGCCTTTTAGTCGTGCCCTCCGCCACTCTCCCATATTCATTCCTTCCCGCCTCCCGTGTGTGCTGACAGTGGTAGGAGGTGGGGTCATAGGTAAGGTCTGGCTCTCAGGAGGCCTTGGAAATCCTCTCTATGTTGCTAGTATGTAGCTTGTAGTTGGTGTTCTGTCTGTAGGCGTGACATCTAGCCATCTTTTTCCAACAGTGTACCTTGGTTCCACTAATTCAGCGACGTTAAGCAATTACGATTAAATAGAGGAAACTGATGTGTTAAAAAAATATATTTCGGCCGGGCACGGTGGCTCACGCCTGTAATCCTAGGACTCTGGGAGGCCGAGGCGGGCGGATTGCTCGAGGTTGGAGTTCGAAACCATCCTGACGAGACCCGTCTCTACAAAAATAGAAAGAAATTATTGACCAACTAAAATATATATACAAAAAATTAGCCGGGCATGGTGGTGCATGCCTGTGGTCCACCTACTTGGGAGGCTGAGGCAGGAGATCGCTTGAGCCCAGGAGTTTGAGGTTGCTGTGAGCTAGGCTGACGCCACGGCACTCACTCTAGCCAGGGCAACAAAAGTGAGACTCTGTCTCAAAAAAAAAAAAAAAAAAATATATATATATATTTCAAAATGAATGGATTATTTTCTAGTCTAAAGAACTGTTGTCCTAAGGAGTGTAAAAGAGAGGAAGAGTTTTGTGAGAAAGCATCGGCAAAAGAAATTAGATCTCAAAACAAGGCCCTCTCCGAAGGCACTGTAGAGGACACAGAGTAAGAACCATTTCCTACATTTGGAGAAGTTCTGATCTTGAAAAAATGGCTTCAGGATAAAGCAGAGCATCATTTTTGTATTAATGTATTTACATACAAGATGGATAGGACTGTAATCTTGGCGTGTTGCAGCATGGTGGATTTCCTCACTCATTAGAGAATGGGGGTGAAGGTAGTGAGAGCACAGTATAAATGTATGCCACTGATATACTTCCAGGCACATAAATTGCTATAGAGGTGGTATTAGGGAATGGTAGTCAAGAAATCACAGATCTTATGTATTCTGGAATATCTTTTTTTTTTTTTTTTGAGACAGAGTCTCGCTTTATTGCCCAGGCTAGAGTGAGTGCCGTGGCATCAGCCTAGCTCACAGCAACCTCAAACTCCTGGCTCAAGCAATCCTCCTGCCTCAGCCTCCCAAGTAGCTGGGACTACAGGCATTCGCCACCATGCCCGGCTAATTTTTGTATATATTAGTTGGCCAATATTTCTTTCTATTTATAGTAGAGACGGGGTCTCGCTCTTGCCATGCTGGTTTCGAACTCCTGACCTTGAGCAATCCGCCTCGCCTCCAGAGAGCTAGGATTACAGGCGTGAGCCACCGCGCCCGGCCATATCTTTTTTTTTGAGGAATATAAGTGAAGGAGTATGGCTTAGTGAAAAGATAAGTGGATATGGAATCAGGAGACCCAAAGAGGCTAGACTGATTGATTTTAGTGAACTGAAAACATTTGAGAGGTACTGACCTATTTACCTTCTACTCAGGTAGTCGGTTTTCCTCGGAGTTTTTTTTTAAAGTTCTGTGCAAACTGTTTCCATGTTAGTTCTCATAATTGGTTTTTCTTGCTTTCCTAGAAAGCTGAAATATTATTCTTCACAGCATTCTTTACTCATAACACCCTCAAAGGAAGGGCCAAATAGGAAAAACCAAAATATCCATGCTAGGTGACAGAATGGACTGATGACAGGATCATAACTTTTGAGACTTTGGCTTAGTCTGAGAGGCATTAGATAGTTGGAAAACCACTGATGTAGAGAGTTTTAACTTTTTTGTTTGTTTTGGTTTGGGTTTTTAGAGGTGGGTGTTGCTGTATTGCCCAGGCTGGTCTCATACTCCTGGCCTCAAGTGATCCTCCGGCTCTGCCTGCAAAAGTGTTGGGATTATAGGTGTTAGCCTGGCTTAACTTTATTTATAATTTGTATTTTATAATTTTGGAGACAGGGTCTCCTGCCAGGGCTAGAATGCAGTGGCGCCATCATAGCTCACTACAACCTCAAACTCCTGGGTCCAAGTAGTTCTCCTGCCTCAGCCTCCTCAGTAGCTGGACTACAGGCACATGCCACAACACCCATCTAATTGTAAAATTCTTTGTAGAACGGGGTCTTGCTGGTTGCTTGGGTTGGTCATGAACTCCTGGCCTCAGGTGCCTCCTGCTTAAGCTCCAGCCATGAGCCACTGCACCCAGCCTTAACTTTGTTGTTGTTTGTTGTTTTGAGACAGAGTCTCACTCTATTGTCTGGGTTAAAGTGAGATGCATTAGCCTAGCTCACAGCAACCTCAAACTCCTGGGCTCAAGCGATCCTTCTGCCTCAGCCTCCCGAGTAGCTGGGACTACAGGCATGCGCCACCATACAAGACTAATTTTTTATATATATATATATTTTTTTAGTTGGCCAATTAATTTCTGTTTATAGTAGAGACGGGGTCTGGCTCTTGCTCAGGCTGGTTTTGAACTCCTGACCTTGAGCAATCCACCCACCTCAGCCTCTCAGAGTGCTAGGATTACAGGCGTGAGCCACCACGCCCGGCCTTAACTTTGTTTTTAAAAGCAGAATTAAATGACTTAATTTATTTGGTAGGAGTTAATATCTAATATGTACATATGGACTATCCAAGCAAAGTATTAAGAATATCAGTTCAATCAGTATGGCGTTGAATATAACAAGTCAAACTCTGGTTGCTTTCTAAAATTTCAAAGTGATCTAGTTTCCTTTGAGGAAGAACTGGGATAAAAGAAGAGGAAAAAAAATAAAGTGATCTAGCATCTCAGTTCCCCAAATTTGGATCCTGGTAATGTAATAACTTCATTTCTGAGAACAGAATTGTATTGGTAAACTTTTTTTTTTTGAGACAGAGTCTCGCTTTGTTGCCCAGGCTAGAGTAAGTGCCGTGGCGTCAGCCTAGCTCACAGCAACCTCAAACTCCTGGGCTCAAGCGATCCTTCTGTCTCAGCCTCCCAAGTAGCTGGGACTACAGGCATGAGCCACCATGCCTGGCTAATTTTTTCTATATATATTAGTTGGCCAATTAGTTTCTTTCTATTTATAGTAGAGACGGGGTCTTGCTCTTGCTCAGGCTGGTTTCGAACTCCTGACCTCGAGCAATCCGCCCGCCTCGGCCTCCCAGAGAGCTAGGATTACAGGCGTGAGCCACCGCGCCCGGCCTACATTGGTAAACTTTTATTTATTTATTTATTTTTTTGTAAGAACATGTTCTGTAATAATGCATTGGTAAACTTTTAATTCCTGTGCATTTATCTTTGACATAAATCTTCTTGGCGTATCACACCCATTAAATTTATAGTGGATGAGTCTTCAGAGTGACTGAAAACTGAAAAGCTTGAACTTAAAATTTTGCAGAAGAGTTATGACAGGTTATCAGAGATAATATATGTGCTCAATAGCATACATAATGTGCTTTTGAACTTCCAAAAACCACGATGGAAAGAGATTTGGTCCTGTTGGGCAGTCCTGACAGAAAGTGGCAGTGTATCCAGGAAAGGGGGATGCTGGCTGCTGGGTGCCCTAGTTCACAGTTGTAATCCTAGCGCTTTGGGATACCAAGGTGGAAGGATAACTTGAGGCCAGGAGTTCAAGACCAGCTTGAGCAACAAAAAAACTAAAAATTAACTGGGTGCGCTAGTAGTTCCAGCCACTTAGGAGGCTGAGGCAGAAGGATCACTTGAACTGAGGAATTTGAGGTTGCCATGAGCTATGATGCTACCACTGCACTCTAGTCTGGGCAACAGAGCAAGACCCTGTCTCAGAAAAGAAGGGGGAGGGTCCTGAGGTACTCATGTTCAGGGTAGACCTAGAAATTAAAGGAAACAACACTGGCAGATAAAAAAGAAGAATGAAGAATGTCTAGAATAGGCAAAACCACAGAGACAAAGATCAGTGCTTTCCAGTGGCTGAGGGGTGGCAGAATGGCAAAAGACAGCACTAATAGGTACGAGGTTTCGTTTACGGAATGATGAAAATGTTGTAAAATTAGATTATGATAATGGTTGCACAACACTATTGAATTGTATATTCAAGCAGGTAAACTTTCTGGTTTGTAAATTATATATTAATAAACCTATTTTTAAAAAGTAATGAAGAGGCCGGGTGCGGTGGCTCATGCCTGTAATCCAAGCACTCTGGGAGGCCAAGGCGGGCGGATTGCTTGAGGTCAGGAATTCGAGACCAGCCTGAGCGAGAGCGAGACCCCGTCTCTACTATAAATAGAAAAAA